TCCTCCTGTAACGGGACGTGCCCGACTTAACCATACCTCCTCTGCGCGTGGCCGACTCTGCTCGTCACCCCTCCTCCTCCTTGTCCCCCTCCTCCTCGAGGCCGGGGGATTGTGGAGCACCTCGTCGTTTTCATACGGTTGTTATCGAGTGAAACGCTCTTTCGCCCTTAAACCTTGATTGTTTTTTGTAATTGCTTTTTTTGCCGTGATCCCCTCATACAAATATTTCCTCGTTATGTCGTTCTCTAGTGTTCTCTTCCTCTCTCTCTCTCTCTCTTTCTCTTTCTCTTTCTCTCTCTCTCTCTCTTTCTCTCTCTCTCTCTCTCTCTTTGTCGATCTCCTGCACCAGGCCAATGCATGTCGATGCGATACAAATCCATTCCCAACCAACACCAATGCCAATGCAATGCCAATGGGTGAATCCTTTCGTTTGGTGGGTTACAATAAGAATACTTGGCGGATAATGTCATTACGAATCCTTCTTCGGAGGATCTCAATAGCAATGCTTATGTGTAGGGTTTCGATAGGAATCCTCATGTGGAGGGTTTCACTAAGAATCCTTCATGTGGGATGATTCAATCGGAATCGTTATTGTGGAGGGCTTCAGTAGGAGTCCGTCCGCGGAGGGAGCCATTAGGACTCGCCAGCGCAATGCCAACGCAATGCCAAAGCTTTGCCATCGCAATGCCAAACCAACGCCAAGGCGATCCCAATTCAATGCCAATGCAATGCCAATGGGGGGGGTCCTTTGTGGTAGATTCCAAAAGGAATCCTACCTGTAGAGGGTTTCGGTTGGAATCCTTCCGTGGGGGGGTTCAGTATGAATCTTTTATGTGGGGGGCTTTCAAAAGGATCCCTTCTTGTGGAAGGTAAGGAGCCAGCGCAATGCCGAAGCAGTGCCAACGCAATGCCAAACCAATGCCAATGCAATGCCAGTGGGGGGAATTGTTTGTGGTAGATTTCAATAGCAATTCTTCTAAGAACCCTTCTTCGGGGGATTTCAATCGGAAACCTTCTATGGAGGGCTTCGCATGCAACCCTTCTGTTTAGGATTTCAATTTGAATCCTTCTTGTGGGGGGATTCAATAGGCATCCTTTTTGTGGGGGTGTTCAATAGGAATCCTTCTGTGAAGTGTTTGAGTAGGACTCGCCAGCGCAATGTCAACGCAATGCCAACGCACTGCCATCGCAAAGCCAACGCAACGCCAATGCGATGCCAAACCGTTGCCAAACCAATGCCAATGCAATGCCGATGGCGGGACTCCTGTCTTCCAACAGAGTTCACTAGGAATCCTTATGTGGATGATTTGGTTACGAATCCTTCTTCGGAGGATTTCGATAGGAATCCTCCCGTGGAGGGTTTCGATTGGAATCTTTATGTGGGGGGTTTCACTTTGAAGCCTTCATGTGGGGGCTTTCAATAGGACCCCTTCTTGTGCAAGGTTTTCATAGGAATCTTTCTGTGGGGGGAGCCCTTAGAACTCGCCAGCACAACGCCAACGCAATACCAACGCAATGCCAAACCAATGCCAAAGCGATCCCAATTTAATGCCAATGCAATGCCAGTGGGGGAAATCGTTTGTGGTCGGGTTCAAGAAGAATCCTTCTACGGAGGGCTTCGAATGTAATCCCTCCGTGAGGGAGTTCAATGTGAAACTTCTTGTGGAATGCTTCAAGTGGAATCAGGGGGATTCATCAGGAGTCATTCTGCGAAGGGAGGTGTTGGAACTCGCCAGCGCAATGCCAACGCAGTGCCAACGCAATACCACACCAATGCCAAAGCAATTCCAACCCAATGCCAATGCACTGCCAATGTGGGAAATCCTTGGTGGTAGATTTCAATAGAAATCCTTATGTGGAGGGTTTCGCATGGAATCCTTCTGCGGAGGTGTCAATATGAACCGTTGTTGTGGAGGGTTTCAATAGGAGTCCTTCTTGTAGAAGGTTTCGATCGGAGTCCTTCTGTGGAGGGTTCCATTAAGACTCGCCAGCGCAATGCTTGCGAAACGCAAGCACACTAGCAACGCACTGCCAAGCGCAATGCCAACGCAATGCCAATGCGATGCCAAACCATTGCCAAACCAATGCCAACGCAATGCCAACGGGGGGTTCTTTCTTTGCCGATGGCGGGATTCCTGTCTTCCAACAGCGTTCACTAGGAATCCTCATGTGGATGATTTGGTTACGAATCCTTCTTCGGAGGATTTCGATAGGAATCCTCCCGTGGAGGGTTTCGATTGGAATCTTTCTGTGGGGGGTTTCACTTTGAAGCCTTCATGTGGGGGCTTTCAATAGGACCCCTTCTTGTGCAAGGTTTTCATAGGAATCTTTCTGCGGGGGGAGCCATTAGAACTCGCCAGCGCAATGCCAACGCAATACCAACGCAATGCCAAACCAATGCCAAAGCGATCCCAATTTAATGCCAATGCAATGCCAGTGGGGGAAATCGTTCGAGGTCGGGTTAAAAAAGAATCCTTCTATGGAGGGCTTCGAATGGAATCTTTCCGTGAGGGAATTCAATAGGAACCCTTCTTGTGGAATGCTTCAAATGGAATCCTTCTTGAGGGGGATTCATCAGGAGTCATTCTGCGAAGGGAGGTGTTGGAACTCGCAAGCGCAATGCCAGCGCAATGCCAACGCAGTGCCAACGCAATGCCACACCAATGCCAAAGCGATTCCAACCCAATGCCAATGCACTGCCAATGAGGGAAATCCTTTGTGGTAGATTTCAATAGGAATCCTTATGTGGAGGGTTTCGCATGGAATCCTTCTGCGGAGGGTGTCAATCTGAAGAATATAAATCCTTCTGCAGGTGATTTCAATAGGAATCCACATGTGGAGCATTTCAGTAGGAATCATTCGGTGGAGGGTTTCGATAGGAATCCTTCTGTCGAGGATTTCACTCTGCATCCTTCTTGTGGGGGCGTTCAATAGGAGTCGTTCTGGGGGGGAGAGCAGATGAGGCCACGTCGCTTTCCTTTTCTTTCGCCGCCGACCCCCCCCTCCCCCCGAAAAAAACATGAAAAGTCATGTTAAAATGTCCAACATGATTTGTTGTTGTTCTTGTTTTTTCTGGGGGGGAGGGGGGGAGAGAAAAAAAAAGAGCAGGAGGAGGAGGAGGAGGAGGAGGAGGAGGAGGAGGAGGAGGAGGGGGAGGCGGAAGGAGAGGAGGACGCCACAGAGTACGCACACCACTGAAAGACGCACGCGCGAACTCAGTGTGAAAGCCTCGCGCGCGCGCCCTGGAACCCCGAGGGGCTCCACAATCCCCCGTTCTCTCCTCCTCCTCCTCCCGCGCCTGCGGCGGGCGGGGCTCGCGCAGCGGCCAAAAGCCACGCGCGAAGGCGACTGACTACCTACCAGACCACCCCAACCTAACTAACCCGAAGCCCCGCACTTCGGGTTGAGGGGGGGGGGCACGGGTGCCGCACGTGCTTTTACAGTGTTCCCTGACAACCCCCCCCCCACTGGGAAAGGAGGGCTAATTGGGGTCTTCGGGCTGGGCTGGGGTGGTGAGGTGGGTGGTGAGCAACTGCCGCCGTTATGCCCAGACAGGAGGCTGGCGACCCGCGCCGCCGGGAGATGGCCACCTGCCAGCACTGAGACCGAAGCCAGGACGAGGATGAAAAATCTGGTACCGAGAACGCCCAAGATAGCCCCAAGACCGTCCAAGAAGCCTCCAAGACGTCCCAGGCCCCCTCCAAGAGACCCCCAGGAAGCCCCAAGAGGCCCCCACGAGGCTTCCAAGCGGCCCCTCAGAGCTTCCCAAGAGGCCCACAAACTACCCCCAAGAGGCCCCCAAGAGCGCTCGTCGTCGTCGTCGTCGTCGTCGTCGCCATTCAGGGTCGGCGGCACCGGCCGTAAGGCCTTCGCAATCTGGTAAGGATCAGCGGAGAATCTCTGAGATCCGACAGCTCTGGAGGATGACTCGGGCGCCGCGGCCTTCTCAGACGAGGGGCAACGATAGGGGGGGACTGGCATCAGCGGGGGGATGCATCGACCTGGAACCGGCGATACATCGCCCGATAGTGAATCTGCACCGTCCTGTGCAGGTTGGGGCTATCGGGCCCCTATCGGCGATCCATGGACGATTGGGGGTCGATGCATTCCCCCCCTATGCCTATCCCCCCCTATCGTTGCCCCCGAAGGATATCCCGAGCGCCGCGGCCTTCTCAGAGCGTTCTGGAACGCTCTGAGAGCGTTCTGGAACGCTCTGGAACGGATCTATCCTCGCCCTAGCCCCGTCCGAAGCGCCCCACGCTCGTGACCTTGGCTCGCCACGCCCCGCACGAGCAGTCCGCGCGCCCCTCGGGGCGGTCCAGAGGCCGCCGGCGGTCCTCTGCGGCAGCACCGGGCGAAGAAGCGAGGGCAGAGGCGCGGCCACCAGCGCCCTCCCGACTGCTGGGGGGGTCAAGCGCCCCCCGCGGGGAGAGCAGGAAAAGAGCCAGCCCAGAACCCAAAGCACCCCTCAGCCCCGTCGGTCGCCTCGGTGGTCACGCGTTCGCTTGGCTCCGCCCGCCCGCCCGCCCGCCCGCCCACCCGGTCCGCCTGCACGACATGGTCCGCCCGTCCCCGGAGAAACGGTCCGCCAGCGAAACGGCTCGGCGAAACGATTCGGGCAACACGGTATGTCGTGGAAACGGTCTCCTGACAGTCGCAAATACCGAGATGCAAAGTCCATAGCTGGAAAACTGGCAAGGGCTGGAGTGGGCCTGAAACAGCCGAGGGGCGCTGGCCGTCCTGGAAAGACGGGCCTGCGAGAAGGGAAAAGGCTATCTGGCCCCACCCAAGCCTTTCTTGCCAGGGGTGGACCTAAACGGTGTTTTGGCGATTTCTTGGGCCGTTTTCGTTTCGATTCCGTTTTGCGTCACAGGCGGATTGAAGACAAAACGAGGGAAAAGGATAACAAACCGAAAACGAAAAACACCGTTTAGGTTCAGCCCTGTTTCTTGCATGCCTGATTAAATCTCGAGAGCGCTCCGACAGCGTGAAGCGGCCTGGCCTTCTCCTTCTTGAAGGTGTCCAGCAGCCCCTGGAGCGTGGCCGCCGCAATCTTCCCTTTTCTGTCACTCTCCCTCTCTGCCTCTGCCCCTCCCCCGCCTCCTCCTCCTCCTCCTCCTCCTCCTCCTCCTCCTCCTCATCATCATCATCATCATCATCATCATCATCATCATCATCATCATCATCATCATCATCATCATCATCATCATCATCATCATCATCATCATCATCATCATCATCATCATCATCATCATCATCATCATCATCATCATCATCATCATCATCATCATCATCATCATCATCATCATCATCAATCATCAATCATCATCATCATCATCCTCATCATCATCAATCATCTCATCATCAATCATCATCATCATCCATCATCATCATCATCATCAACTCATCATCATCATCATCATCATCATCATCATCATCACATCATCATCATCATCATCATCATCATCATCATCATCATCATCATCATCATCATCACATCATCATCATCCTCTCATCATTATCATCATCACATAATCAGCAGGCATCAGCCATCAGCATCAGCATCACCATCAGCATCACAACAGCAGCATCCTCATCACCATCCTCCTCATCACCATCATCCTTCATCATCCTCCCTCCCCTCCTCCTCCTCTCCTCCTCCTCTCCCCTCCTCTCCTCCTCCTCCTCCTCCCTCCTCCCTCTCCTCCTCCTCCTCCTCCTCCTCCTCCTCCTCCTCCTCCTCCTCCTCCTCCTCCTCCTCCTCTCTCTCCTCCTCCTCCTCCTCCTCCCTCCTCCTCCTCCTCTCCTCCTCCTCCTCCTCCTCCTCCTCCTCCTCCTCCTCCTCTCTCCTCCTCCTCCCCTCCTCCTCCTCCTCCTCCTCTCCTCCTCCTCCTGCCCTCCTCCTCCTCCTCCTCCTCCTCCTCCTCGTCCTCCTCCTCCCTCCTCCTCCCTCCTCCTCTCCTCCTCCTCCTCCTCCTCTCCTCCTCCTCCTCCTCCTCCTCCTCCTCCTCCTCCTCCTCGTCCTCCTCCTCCTCCTCCTCCTCCTCCTCCTCCTCCTCCTCCTCCTCCTCCCACGCGGGCGTACCCGTTGGCCGACGTGCAATATGGGACATGAGCCAACAACCCCGCTCCCGAGAGCTCAGTCTCCCGCACGACGCTCGTACAGCTGCGACCTCCTCCAAGCCGTACCCTGCGAGGGTCGAGCGCGGCTGGTCGGCAATCGTGGCCCGCCCAGATTGGCAGCAGCCAGCAGTTCGGCCCCCTGGCTGAATGACAGACCGCTGGCTGCCGACGCAGCGGCGTCGGCCCCGTCTTCCAACTCCACTTCACCTCGATTCGTGTCTCCCTCTCTCTCTCTCTCTCTCTCTTCGCCGCCCCCCCGATCGGCATGACTGCTGCCGCTGCATCTGGCAAGGACGAGCGGCCTCGAGCGTCTGAATGATCTCGTCAGAGTGATAGCTGTAGGAGTGGGGATCTCCTCTGGCGGGCAGCACGTGATGTGGCCGGAGGCGTCGTATGTACTGACAAGGTATGCGTCTGGGTGACCTGTCCTTGGTTTCCGAAAGAACACAGAGAACACAGGCGCCACAGACGCCGCACCATACAGTAATAGCGATCACCGACACGCATCTGTTGTGGCTGGCGCAGGCCCTGTTCAATGCTCACACCGACCTGCGATGGGCTGCAGCAGGGGATGAAAACAAGAAATTACTAGATGCTTTCTGGTACACCAAATTCCCCGCCGTAGACCCGCCACCGTGTCGTCAGCTCTCTGAAGCGCGTCAGGATACCTGCTGGCTGCCCGACAGGGCTTGGAACTTTCAAGCAGAGACCCCCCGCGCGAGTCGTGGAACCGATTCGAATATCGCCGCAAACTGCTCCAAGGCTGGACAGGGACAGCTCAACGACCTGCCAGAGCCTTGAGATGGCTCCTAGAAAACCCAAGAGACCCAAAGAGGGCTTTAAAAAAGGCGTTCCAAGGAGTTCAATGGCAAGCCCGCGAGGGGCAAAAGTGATAATTCTGAATGTGTGCATATTGTGCGTTGTGTGTTGTGTGATGTGTGTGTTATGTGTTGTGCTGTGTTTGTGTGTGGTGTGTGGGTTGTGTGTTGTGTGCTCTGTGTGTTGTGTGCTGTGTGCTGTGTTGTGTAGTGTGTGCTGTGTGTGCTGTGTGTTGTGTGTTGTGTGTAGTGTGTGCTGTGTGTGTGTTGAGAGTGTTGTGTGCGGCGTGTATTGCGCGTGGTGTGTGTGTGGTGTGTGTTGTGTGTTGTGTGTTGTGTAGTGTGTGGTATGTGGTATGTGTTGTGTGTTGTGTGCTGTATGCAGAGTGCATTGAGCGTGGTGTGTTGTGTGCTGTGTGTTGTGTTGTGTGTTGTGCATTGTGCGCTGTGTGTTGTGTGCGTTGTACGCGCTGTGTGCTGTGTGATGTGTGTCGTGCGTGTTGTTTGTTGTGTGGTGTGTGCGTTGTTTGTTGTGTGGTGTGTGTTGTGTGGTGCGTGTTATGTGCTGTGTGTGTTGTGCGTTGTGTGTGTTGTGTGTATGGTGTTTGTTGTGTGTTGCGTGTGGTGTGTGTGATGTGTGTACTGTGTGTGCTGTGTGATGTGTGTTGTATGTGTTGTGTGCGTTGTGTTGTATGTTGTGAGTGTGGTGTGTGTTGTGTGTGTGGTGTCTTGTGTGTGTTGTGTGTTGCGTGTGTTGTGTGTGTTGTGTGTTGTCTCGGTTGTGTGCTGTGTGTTGTGTGTTGTGCGCGATGTATGTGTGTTGTGTGTTGTGTGTGTCGTGTGTCGTGTGTTGTGTGTGTGCTGTGTTGTGTTGTGTGTTATGTGTTGTGTGTGGTGTGTGCGTGTGGTGTGCTGTGTGTTCTGCGTGTGGTGTGTGTGTGTGCTGTGTGCTGTGTGTGCTGTGGTGTGGATGTTGTCTGTTGTGTGATGTGTGTTGTGTGTTGTGCGTTGTGTGCTGTCTGTGCTGCGTGTTGCGTGGTGTGTCTTGTGTGTTGTGCATTGTGTATTGTGTGTTGTGTGTTGTGTCTATTGTGTGTTGTGTGTACGTTGTGTGCTGTGTGTGCTGTGTGTGCTCTGTGTGTGGTGTGTGTGGTGTGCGTTGTGTGTATGGTGTGTTGCTTGTTGTGTGCTGTGTTGTGTGATGTGTGTGTGTGCTGTGTCTGCTGTGTGTTGCGTGTACTGTGCGTTGTGTGGTGTGTGTGCGGTGTGCTGTGTGCGCTGTGTGCTGTGTGTGCTGTGTGTGTTGTGTGTTGTGTGTTGTGTGTGCTGTGTTGTGTGAAGTGTGTTGTGTGTTGTGTGTGCTGTGTTATGCGCGTTGTGTGTTGCGTCGCGTGTGTTGTGCTGTGCATTGTGTGCTGCCTGTGCTGTATGCGTTGTGTGTTGTGTGTTGTGTTGTGTGTGTTGTGTGTTGTGTGTTGTGTGTTGTGTTGTGTGTTGTGTGGGTTGTGTGTGCTGTGTGTGTTGTGCGTTGTGCGTTGTGTGTTCTGCGTTGTGTGTTGTGCGTTATGCGTTGTGTGGTGTGTACTGCGTGTGCTGTCTGTGCTCGGAGTTGTGTATGGTTTGCGTTGCGTGTTGTGTGTTGTATGTGTTGTGTGCCGTGTGTGGTGTGTGCTGTGTGTGGTGTGTTTTGTGTTGTGTGTTGTGGTGTGTGTCGTGTGTGCTGTATACTGTGTGTTGCGTGTTGTGTCTTGTGTGTTGTGTGTTTCCTGTTGTGTGTGTTGTGTTTGTGCTATGTGTGTTGCGTGTGCTGTGTGTGCCGTGCGAATGCTTTTCATTATCGCACTTATTTGCCAGAAGATGGCCCCCGAGACGGTCCCAGGACGACACAAAACAAGAGGTCGCCCAAATGGGGCCCGAACAGACAGATTGGGTCGGAGGATCGCGCCGCAGCGCCGATACATCGGCTGTGCATCCGCGACGTCAGATGGTGAAAGCAGGGTTCCAAATCACGCCACATCGCCGATGCATCCCCAAGCAGCCGGCTGCACCAGGTTTTTCGATGCGCGGGCCCCTGAGGACGGACACTTCACCAGGACCAGCTTTTCATCCTGAGTCGTTGTTTGACACTCCCGAGGCCCATCGAAGGCCCCCAGAAGCCGAAAACTGTCAAAAACCGTCTGCTCAAATTTCTTAGTCGGAGCGTCGGATCCCTGGGTCGGGGACGCCAAAAAAACTGGACAGGCGAAGGACCCAACCATATGCAGTTGTTCGCACAAACGAACGAACGTCAGCCTTGCACCGGACGGCGCGCGAGCAGGGTGAGATAGGAGATACTTAGTACCGGAATGCAGCACTATTTACAGCTGGTGCCATTTCCTTACTGCCGACTCCTATGAAGCTGCTGCTCTGCCGCCGCGGCAGAAGAATGCAGTCAAGGCCTCCCAGGAGCCAGTCACGGACAGACACTTGCGCACGACCACGCTGCCCCAAGATTGTCTCGGGCGTCCTGTCCTGCGTGGCCCTGATGGGGGTCGGAGATCAAGTCCGACCGGCTCGAAAACCTGGCGTCGCACAGGATCTGTATCCGGACGTCTTGCGAGTTCCCCCGTGAAGAGCATCTGTCGCTTCATGAGATTGTCGCTCAACGGCCTCTGTCCGGCTGACGCACGCTGGCGGCACGCGGTAGATTTTCCGCAGCCACCGGTATCTGGGCAACCAGCACAAAGGCCATACATTAATTTTGACACAATGCACGCGTAGAAAAGTCTCCGACTAAGAACGGAATGCGCCCAAATTGCGCACAAGACTTGAAAGTCCTGCCCTGCTGCCCCCATACGACTAGTCAGCTCAGACCCTATTCTGCCGTTTGCAGACAGACGGGCGCCCAAATACGCGACGGAATTGTTGCAAACCACCGGGACGCCAGATGCGTTCAGAATGTCGACCCCAGACCTCACCCTCAATAGCTCCAATTTTGCTAATGGAACTTGGGACTGCATTGCATCGCGCAGGTCTCGACAGCATTCACGAGCGCCCCCCGTAGCCGATGGGGAGTATACATACGGGCCTGCAGTTGTCGCGCGACGCCGGATCGCCTATCTTATAGATCATGCGAACTTCGGTTTTTCCCCCAGGAGTCTGGCAAGCTCGCCTGCGCCCATGCCTTGTTGCAGAAGGCCGCGGTCCACGACGGCGCTGTCTCGCCATCTCCGACAGCTGCCTTCCAGAATTCCGAGGGAAGTTTTTATCCCCCCCAACTGCTTTTCCACCGCGCAACCGCTCGGCCGCCTGGCGGACTTCGACTTCGGTGATAGGTCCGAATAGCACCGGGAGCTCTTCGTGGATTGGTCTCTCGTCGGGCAGCACTGTCGCGGGCCTTACTGCCCATTGCACCGTTTGCAAATGCTTGGCCAGCGTCTCGGCCCTGGCGTCGCTGTCCACCAGAGCGCCGGCAGCGTCCCAGAGGAGCCCTTGCTGCGGACAAAATCCTCCCGCAGTTTGCGCACCTCGCCCCAGCTGCTGCTGCCGCGAGCTTCTCAAGCCTGTTCGCGCGGACCCCGCGCCACAGATTGACGCGCGGATTCAACGAGGTTGCGCTCGGCAGCAGTGTCTCCCGACTGCCGCGCCTCTCCTCGACGGGCGATCAGCTGCAGGGTGCTCTCTGTCACCCACGGCCCCCGCGCGGCAATCGGCTCCTCTGGCAAGTTTCGGGGCGCCGCGTGCCCGAGCGCGTCGACAAGCCCGCGCCACGCAATGTTCACGGCATGCTGCCCACTGTCATATTAATCTATACCTTCCAGGGAACGCGAGAAATGCTGCTTGAAAGTTAACTGCGCGCTCTCCTCGCTCAGCTGCTGCTCGTCGGGCTCGGGCGGCCCCCGGCCCTTCGACACCTTGTCGACGGCCACGTGCAACCGGGCCACCAGCAAGAAGTGGTGCGAGGCAAGCGGCACCTCGCGGCGCACCTGCAAGTCGCTGACCTTCGGGAGCCAGTCCCGGTCGCAGGCCACGACATCGATATGCGAGTGCGTCGACGCGCTCACGGCGCACCCGAGAGGGCACCGGGCGTCGCAGCACATCACAAAGTCCGCCTCTCGAAGACAGCGTCGGCAATGCACGCGCGCAGCCGCTCGCAGGTCTCTGACAACAAGAGCCAGATTGCGTCCGGCTTGACGCTGGCATCTGGGCGTTGGAATATGCGCGGGCCCCCCTCATCCCCCGTTCGTTCGCGCAGCCCTGCATTGAAGTCAGCTAAGGTAATCCTAGCGCCATGTGCCGACCGAGCCTCGACGAAACCTGCGAAGTCGCGGTGGCAATTTCGGCGCTCCTGGAACTCCTTGCCGCTGTGCGGAGCATGCGCCGATAAGAGAACGGCCTTGCCTCCAGGCACCCGGATTTTCAGCGAAGCCATCCGTGAGGACGCCTGGCAGAAGCCCACGACGCAACTCCTGGCGGCGGGTCCCACGAGAAATTCCACCCCGACCTGGTCTGTAGAATTGCCCTGGCCGCCCGATTGTTTAACCAATAACCAGCATCAGATACGAAAACGCTCGATTCCGGAATCAAGTCTCCTGGATGCGCAGACTCATGATACCCATATATTTCACTATACGTTCCAACTCTATCTGCTTGCAGTCCGCGCACCCTTCCATGTTCCAACTTGCAACGGGAAGTTCGCTTGGCACCAGGTGCAGACGGCCCACAATGGCAGACTGGCTAAGCCAAATCTCCCGCTGCCCGCAGAAAGTCATCGTTCGCAATGGGCACTCTCAGGAGGAGGCCCACGATCTCCACGGCTCTGTTGTGGAAACTGTCCTGTTCGCGGACCGCCAGCACCCCTGCTTGGAATGGCGGCCAGAGCACTTCCCCTTGCGATTCCTTTTGGAGCCACCCTTGCCTACACCTTTTTGTCTGGAAGCTGGTCGAGCTTGTCCCATAGCTTCTGCACCATTTGCGGGAACCGGGGGTCATCGGCATGAGCGAGCCACTCCTCCCAGCCGGCGCCGTAATCGACCTTCAGCGTGCCAGTCAATGGACACCTGAATCGCGACGTCGTCGCCGACCCACACATTCTCCTCCTTGGGATCGGCCCAGACGCTGTCGGTGTAGCCCCACTCCTTCGGCATGTACTTAGCACCAAAAACACACGAATTTAAAACCATCTGGGGCACAGCCTTGTCTGGCTTAGCCCAGACAGGCACGCCGCCTTCCTTGAACGCTTTCGTCCTCAGTCTGCACTGCTGCTGTGGCCACAAAACTTCGTCAAACTCGCCCTTGATATAGACGTCTTCCAGATGTGGCGCGTAGGACTCCCGAAGCGTATTCTTGAGCCAGTCGCGGGCCTCGTCCAGACCTGAGAGCGACTGCGGTCCTCCAATCACTGCGGTCAACTCTTTGTCCTGGCTCTTGTCTGTGCTGGAGGTGATGCCTTTTAACTGCTCGCTTTCCACCTGCAGCGCCTTGATGTGGTCCCAAACCTCTGTGTTGATGCTGCGGGGGGATGCCGGCGAGCCGCCTGCATGCTCACACATGTTTTCCAGGTTCGTCAGGCGGATGACGATGTCCTCCATGCGGCTCCCCACCTCCCCAAACCTACCGTCGAACTCCCCACTCATCTCCTTCAGGCGCTTGTCGAAGTTCTCGATGGTGGTGTTGATCGGCTGGACCTCCTGGCGGATGATGGCCGCGACTTCCGGTAGAGTTGAAGGATTTGATGCTGTTGAGGCCGTGGCACTGCATGAGTTTCTGCGGGAGTGGTCGGGGCAACCGGCGAAGATGTCTGATGCACCTCCGGCCGGGGTGGAGAGCTGAGGTCGTCCAGCCCATCCATCTCGTGGAGCGGGCTGAACAAACGCTGGCGGACGTCGCGTTCAAGAACTCCTCGGACTGGTGTCCCTGGCGCTCGCGCGCCCGCACCTGCCATCGCAAGATATGGGAAGGGGAAAAAGAAGTGGCGTGGTGGTAAAAGTGTAAGTACGGGTATGCAAAGCTATGGCGGGAAGCGTCGCGGGACAACTTGTTTGAAACGGCGCCCTTGAACCAATTGTGAATATCTTCTTCGGTGGCGCTCCTTATGCGGCCACGAAACATGTGAGGGGTGTGGCGAAATGGGAGTGAGGGACGCATGTGGACGGTGGCAATGGGGCCTTCGGTGGAGCTCCCTATGAAGCCACGAATCGTGTGAGTGGTGTGCAGAAATTGGTGCGGGGGACGCATGCGGACGGTGGCACTGGGGCCTTCGGTGGAACTCCCCATGGGGCCACGAATCGTGTGAGGGGTGTGCCGAAATGGGTGCGGGGGACGCATGTGGACGGTGGCACTGGGGCCGTCGGTGGAGCTCCCGATGGGGCCACAAAAAGGTGTGAGGGGTGTGCAGAAATGGGTGTGAGGGACGCATGTGGACGGCGGCACTGGGGCCTTCGGTGGAGCTCCCAATGGGGCCACAAAATGTGTGGGGGGTATGCAGAAATTGGTGCGGGGGACGCATGTGGACGGCGGCATTGGGGCCGTCTGTGGAGCTCCCTAATTATGGGGCCACGAATCGTGTGAGGGGTGTGCCGAAATGGGTGCGGGGGACGCATGTGGACGGCGGCACTGGGGCCTTCGGTGGAGCTCCCGATGGGGCCAGGAAACGTGTGAGGGGTGTGCCGAAATGGGAGTGAGGGACGCATTTGGACGGTGGTTCGGTGGAGCTCTCGATGGGGCCACAAAATGTCTGAGGGGTGTGCCGAAATGGGTGTGGGGACGCAGGTGGACGGTGGCGCTGGGGCCTTCGGTGGAGCTCCCCATGGGGCCACGAAACGCTGTACTGGGTGGGTGAAACGGAGGGAGGAGGGAAGAGGGGGAGGAGGTGGAGGAAGGAGGCGGGAGGAGAACGCGGGGCGCCGTCTCTTCAGAACGAGGACCCAGCACCACAGGATGCCTGGGACCCATACCGCTGCTGCCGGGACCTCTCCCGGGGTGCACTCTGACCAGAACTTCGACAAGAGCCGAGCCCTGGCGACGAGGGCGCTCCAGGACGAGCAGCGGTCTCGGAACCTCTTCCCCTCCCAACTTCCGGGCGGCCTGGGTACCCACCCACCCCGACGGGGACGGCCCCTGACAAGGACGGCCTCGACAGGCACCGCCCTCGACAGGGACCGCCCTCGACAGGGGCCGCCCTCGACAGGGCAGTGGCGCGCCGAACTCGCGGGGGCGAGGGCCGGGGCCCATCGCCGTCCTCGGTCGCAACCCTGGCAGCGGCGACGGCGGCGGCGGCGACGACGACGACCGACCAACTGACCGACCGACCGACCAAGCGAGCGAGCGAGCGAGCGACGACGACGACGACAACGACGACGACCACGACGACCACGACGACGACGACGCCGACGACGACGACGACGGCGACGACGACGACGACGACGACGACGACGACGACGACGACGACGACGACGACGACGACGACGACGACGACGACGACGACGGCGACGGCGACGGCGCCGGCGACGGCGACGACGACGACAGCGACGGCGACGACGACGACGACGACGACGGCGACGACGGCGGCGACGACGACGAGGACGAGAAGGACGAGACGGCGACGACGCCGAGGACGAGGAGGACGACGAGGAGAGGCCGAAGCAGCGGCGGCGACGACGACGACGAGAAGGCCGCGGCGCGGCAGCGGAGGCCCGCCCGCCCCAGGCGCGGGAGCGAGGGGGCCGCAGGCGCCGCTCCTGGCTGCGCGCCGAGGGCTCTGGCCTCCCCTCGCGAAGCCGCCAGTCGGGCGCGCTCGTGGTCGCCGCCGCCGTGCGCGCACAGCCACGTACAGCCGACCCGTGTCATAAGGATGCGCGGTACCCAGAGATCCAACGTGTTGAAAAAATCAAGACGGACGTTTGTCGCAATGTTCGGCCTTTAGATGAAAAAAAACGGTCCCAGGGAATGGGTCGACCCTTCCGGGGACCCCGCATTGAAAAGATCACGATATCGGATCCCTGGGTAAGGATGCAAGGGCCTTGGAGGACCATGAGAACGTCCTTCGAACGAGGCTGGCTCCTCCTCCTCCTCCTCCTCCTCCTCCTCCTCCTCCTCCTCCTCCTCCTCCCCCTCCTCCTCCTCCCCCTCCCATCCTCTCCTCCTCCTCCTCCCCCCTCCCCCCCATCCTCCTCCTCCTCCTCCTCCTCCTCCTCCCCTCTTCCTCCTCCTCCTCCCTCCTCCTCCTCCTCCTCCTCCTCATCCTCCTCCTCCTCCTCCTCCTCCTCCTCCTCCTCCTCCTCCTCCCTTGACCCCTGCCCTCCACCCTCCCTCGCTCCGCGTCGCCGTCCTGGCTCCTCGCCGCCCTTCTCTTGCTAGACTTGCAGCCAGATGGTGAAACTTGGGAGGGGCCGCCGCCTTCCGCCAACGAGGAGGCGCTGAGGGGCAACGATAGGGGGGGACTGGTATAGGGGGGGATGCATCGACCTGGAATCGGCGATACATCGCCGATAGATCGGCGATAGGCCCCAAATAGTGAATCCGAACCTTCCTGTGCAGGTTGGGGCTATCGGGCCCCTAAGGGCGATCAATGGGCTATTCGGGGTCGATGCATCCCCCCCAATGTCTATCCCCCCCTATCGTTGCCCCTGAGCACGGCTTCCCACACCAGCCGAGGGACCCCCCACTCCCGGTGCTGCCCCCCCTCGAGGCCTGGCTCGCCGTGAGGCCGACCAGGCGGGACCGGAGGACCTCCTCCCGCACCTGCGCGCCGCTGCACTCCTACTCCGCCGCCTCCTCCACCTCCTCCTCCTCCTCCTCCGCCTCATCCTCCTGCTCCTCCTCCTCGTCCTCCGCCTCCTCCTCGTCCACCTCCTCCTCCTCATCCTCCTCCACAGTGAAACAATATGAATACTACTCTCCTCTGTCCACTGGTAACACCTGGGAAATGTCCGGCCCTCCTCCGCGTACTGTTTTTCTCGCGAACAGGACTCATGGGAGCTGGGTTTTCGCTTAGGTTTGTTTTCAAAATGCTGCTCTCGCTGAAGCGCCGGCCTCATTTTCGGGCTACTGCTCGTTCCGAATCGTGCTCCCGCTGCAGCGCTGGCCTCATTTCCGCGCTTCGGCTCGTTCCGAGTCGGGCTCCCGCTGCAGCGCAGGCGTCATTATTTCCAGCGCCATGTCAAGGTATGGTTTCCGGTCCTTCCAAATGGGCCCCAAAATCTAAAAAATGGCCCCACGAAAAAACCATCGGAAGTGATTACACATTCGGTGTCGCTTCGTTGAGTTTTTTGGCCGCAGAAGCCCCCCCACTTGGGGGCGTCGCCACGCCATGCTATGCCAGGCTACGCGTCCTCATTTCTGCGCTTCCGCGCTTAAGTTTTTGCTAAAAATGGTTATCTCGCTGAAACGCTGGCCCCATTTTCGGGCTACCGCTTGTTCCGAATCGTGCTCTCGCTGCAGCGCTGGCCTCATTATCCAGAGCCATGCCACGGCCTGGTTCTTCGGTCCTTCAAAATAGGACCCAGAATCTAAAACATGATCGACCCACGAACCCGGAAAGGAATAGAAATGTAAGGCATGGCAACGCTTCAAAGACACCTGATTGGGTGACGGGCAAATGCAATGCTGAGTGTATCGATCTTGATGTACCCTGCCGAGGGTCCCCGTGGCGCAGTCCGCATGCGTCTCCCCCGCCCAGTACACCGTTTCGTGGCCCCATAGGGGCTCCGCCGAAGGTCCCCGTGGCGCAGTCCGCATGCGTCTCCCTCACCCAGTAAAGCGTTTCGTGGCCCTCCTTTGCATCCGAGTCCTGACCGACTGATCTGGATCTTAAGCTCGAGCTGTCTCAGCACATAATAACTGCCCCAGAGCAAATTGACAGGGGGACATGCCAAGAGGACGCGCCGCGAAACGTCCCAAGGGACGCGCCAGGCGACGTGCCAGGGGACGTGCCATGGGGTCGCACCGCGGGACGTGCCAAGGGGACGCGCTACGGAACGTGCCAATGGATGTGCCACGGGATGTGCCAGGGGACGCGCCACGCGACGTGCCAGGGGGACTCGCCAAGGGACGCCCCACGGAACGTGCCAAGGAACGTGCCCTGTTGCAATGCTGACTGTATCAATCTTGATGTAACGTGCCGAGGGCTGTGCTGTGCTGCGCCGTGCTGAATTGCGATATGCCATGCCGCGATTGTGCTCTATAGCGTTGTGGATCGAGTCCTCTTTTGCATCCGAGTCCTGACCGAACTGATGTGGATCTTAAGCTCGAGCTGCCTGAACACAATAGTAACTGCTCCAGAGCTAATTGACAGGGGGACATGCCAGGAGGACGCGCCGCGGAACGTCTCAAGGGCCGCGCGCGCGTCGCTCCGAAGCCCACGGGCGACCTGCCTCGAGCTGGAGAGAAGGGAGGGGAGCCGCGAGTAAGTGCGACAAGGAACGCTGGGGCCCTGGGGAGGCCTCCTGGGGCCTCCTGGGGCGGCCTCTGAGGCATTAGGAACCCACGTGTTTTCACGCTTGTCCCGCTCTGAGGCGTTAGGAGACCACGTGTCTTCACGCTTGTCCCGCTCTGAGGCGTTAGGAGACCACGCGCTTTCACGCAGGACGTGAAAACAAGCATTTCGCCTGAGACATCCTCTGCATTCTGGCCCCCCACGAGGCCCCCACTCGAGACAACCCCCAATTTTGCAAAACCAGCGTTTCGCTCGAGACATCCTCAACAAAATATGAAAAACTAGCGTTTCGCTCGAGACATCCTGTCAAAATCCAAAGAATTCCTTGCAAAACAAACGAAGACATCCCCCCAATTTTGCAAAACCAGTTTCGCTCGAGACATCCTCAACAAATTATGAAAAAGAAGCGTTTCGCTCGAGACATCTGTCAAAATCCCAAGAGATCCTGGCAAAACAAGCGAATTAGTCGAGACATCCTCGAAATTCCTGCGCGCGGGACGCTTTTCCGCGTCGCGGTCGGGGCTCCAGACCTAGTCGAGTTTGAAGATTCTGCTGAGAAGTGCCCCGCACCTCCTTTTTTACAAAGGAAAACGATGGTCCGCGGACCCCCTTATTTATCGAGGCTCCAAGATGGGGAGTCGACTTTCCTCGAGCGGGCACGCGCGAAACGCATGTTTGTCACGCCGAATTGGACGTCACCTCGTTTTTTATCGAGCGGAATTCCGCCGGCCCACCTCCCGCATGGCACTGGGGACAAATTACCATCCTAAAAGAGAACCCTGGGCTGGCGCCCTTTTTGGGAAAAATGGTCCCCCGAAGAAACCATCGGAAGTGATTACACACTCGGCGTCGATTCGTTTATTTTCTTGGGCCGCAGGTGCCCCACACACCCCACTTTGAGGCGTCGCCACGCCATGCTATGTCATGCTACGCGTCAATATTCAACACCATGATGTGCCATGTAATGCCGCGCCATGCTACGACATCCGATTGTGCGAATTCATAGGAGCTCCACGCCGTGTAAGGGACGGGACGGATGGGTAGGACGTCAGATATGACACGAGCGCACCTAGCTTGTCCTCCTCCCCCTGCCCCATCCCCCTCCCTCTCCTCCTCCTCGTCCTCCTCCTCCTCCTCCTCCTCCTCCTCCTCCTCCTCCTCCTCCTCCTCCTCCTCCTCCTCCCTTGACCCCTGCCCTCCACCCTCCCTCGCTCCGCGTCGCCGTCCTGGCTCCTCGCCGCCCTTCTCTTGCTAGACTTGCAGCCAGATGGTGAAACTTGGGAGGGGCCGCCGCCTTCCGCCAACGAGGAGGCGCTGAGGGGCAACGATAGGGGGGGACTGGTATAGGGGGGGATGCATCATCATCATCATCATCATCATCATCATCATCATCATCATCATCATCATCATCATCACCACATCATCATCATCATCACCATCATCAGCAGCAGCAGCATCATCATCATCATCATCATCATCCTTCTGCTCCTCCCCCTCCCCCTCCCCCTCCTCCTCCTCCCCCTCCTCCTCATCATCCTCCTCCTCCTCCTCCTCTCCTCCGCCTCCTTCGCACCCTCCGCCTTCGCACCCTCTTCCTCGTCCCAAAAGCCCCCCTCTTCCTCGCTAGCCTACTCCTGCTCCTCCCCAATCCTCATCCTCATCCCCTTCACCACCTCCCCCACCGCGCCTCACCGCTTTACTTGCACAGCCGTGGCTTGTTCTTGTTCTGTCGGCAGCTCGTGCTCCGCGGTGTGGTATTACATGTCATCTTTCGGTCGGGCGCACTCTAATTCGGCATCATCCAGTTCCTCCGGATTCGGTTGAGGTTGTTGCTTACGGACGCCTCCTCGTTTTACCTATCTTTTCCAGCGCGTGGAACTTCGCAGGACTGCGTCCAAAAGGGATCCGCGACGCATAACCGCAGAGAACAGGCAGCCGAGAATGCGACTGGAAGTTCAGACAGTACCGCGAGCTCAAGGCCAAGAAGCCCCAAGGTAAACAGCCTGAACCCTTCTTTTGTTGTTCTTGCCGACGCCTTGGAGCCCCCATGTGAGGGCCGCAGCAACATCCAAAGAAGCAAGATCAGTCCTAGCCCCTCCACCTGCCTCCATAGCCTTCTGCGGGCTATCATTAGCTATCGCATGACAGAGGTCTGGAAAAAGAGGAAGAGAGATCTGGGGCAACGTCCCACGGAGGTCCCACGGACTACACCACCTACCCTGATATGTTTGTCAGGTGCGACGTGAGCGCACGAAGCGCTATGTAGCAACAGCCAAGTCGCGGAAGAGTAACCTACTCACATGTACAGATGGAAAGATATAAAGGCGGCCGCGGAGAAATGCGAAGGGTGAAAACTTCCCCGGACATGTATGTGACGTTATCACGCCTCGCTGGGACACAACTGCTCCTTCCATCACTGTAAAAAAGAGGCCCCGCCTGCGCCAGAGCCAGCATGGCCTCGCCCCGCGTCCACCGTATTGCTACATCTTGCGCCGGGACGGCGCATCGTATCCCCTTCTCATGGACGCCTCTGCTGTCGTCTGCACTGCCTACCACGGCCACCAATACACCATCTTGCACATCCCATGCCGGCTGCTGCACGCACTGGCTGTACTCAGACTCGGTGCTCCGTGCCGACCCCAGAGAGCCCGAGTTCCATCCAATCGCATCTCCGCCACTCCTGACCACTTGGTTGTCCTTGATGTTGAACTCTCTATCCTCTATCCATCTCTCGTTCCCTCTCTCCCTCCCTCCACCATCGTCCACATCGTGGCCGACTCGTCCACTCGCAGTGGTCGCGTACACTCCAGATGTCATGGCTACGATTGGCTCAGAACACGTTCCAGGAATTGTTGTCGCTTCGCGAATCCCCACCAGCCCATCCAGAAACGATGCCCAGAGGAATTGCCTCGATCAGAGAAGTGGGCAGCACACAGAGGAAGCCATTATGAGACATCTTGGGATATCTTGAGCCATCTTGGAGGTCATTTTGGGCTCTCCCAGACGCTCTTGGAGTCATCTTAATCCGTGCCCCCCCCCAAGAGGCCTCCATGTGGCTAAAACCTGTGTAGAATCAATGATTAGGCATTCTCGCCGAGGCCTCTTGGAGCATCTTGGGTGCATCTGGGGGGGCTCTTGGGGCCTCTTGGGGGTCTCTTGGGGGCCTCCGGGGGGCCTCTTGGGGGCCTCTTGGGGCCATTTTGGGGCCATCTTGGGACCTCTTGGGGCTTCCTGGGCGCTTCTTGGGGCCATCTTGGAGGAGATCGATCAAACAAGAGGGGGGGTTTAATTAGCGTCCCCCCTCGGAAGCCCCTAAAATCGCCTCTTGGACCCCTCTTGGAACGCTCTTGGAGTGCTCTTGGGCGCTCTTGGGGCCGTCTTGGGGCTCTTTTGGGGCTCTCTTGGGGCCCTCTTGGGCCATCTTGGAACCATCTCCAGGCCTCGGATGGCCATCGGAAGCGAAAAGGCGAGAAAGCAAAAATCATTGATTTTCCTTAGGTTTTGGGACGATTTTGGCCTCTTCGGGGCCTCCTTGGGGAGCTGTTTGGCCACTTGGAGTTATCTTGGGGCCGTCTTTGGGCTTCTTGGAACCATCTTAGGAGCCATCTCGAGCGATCTTGCGCTATCTTGAGCCATCTTGGAGCTCATCTTGGGTTCTCTGAGGCGCTCTTGGAGCCGTCTTGGGCCATCTGGGACGCTCTAACTACCCGCGGCCCCCCCCGTCCAGGTCCAGGGGAGGGGGTAGGGGGAGGGGTAAACCCCTCCCCAAGGGGGAAGAGGGAGGGGTGGAAGAGGATCTGCTCTAGACCACCTACGCCCAGAGGGCTGGTGGGATTCCGAATCCCACCAGCCCTCTGGGCGTAGGTGGTCTAGAGCAGATCCTCTTCCACCCCTCCCTCTTCCCCCTTGGGGAGGGGTTTACCCCTCCCCCTACCCCCTCCCCTGGACCTGGACGGGGGGGGCCGCGGGTAGTTAGAGCGTCCAAGATGGCCCAAGACGGCTCCAAGAGCGCCTCAGAGAACCCAAGATGAGCTCCAAGATGGCTCAAGATAGCGCAAGATCGCTCACGATGGCTCCTAAGATGGTTCCAAGAAGCCCAAAGACGGCCCCAAGATAACTCCAAGTGGCCAAACAGCTCCCCAAGGAGGCCCCGAAGAGGCCAAAATCGTCCCAAAACCTAAGGAAAATCAATGATTTTTGCTTTCTCGCCTTTTCGCTTCCGATGGCCATCCGAGGCCTGGAGATGGCTCCAAGATGGCCCAAGAGGGCCCCAAGAGAGCCCCAAAAGAGCCCCAAGACGGCCCCAAGAGCGCCCAAGAGCACTCCAAGAGCGTTCCAAGAGGGGTCCAAGAGGCGATTTTAGGGGCTTCCGAGGGGGGGCGCTAATTAAACCCCCCCTCTTGTTTGATCGACTCCCTCCAAGATGGCCCCAAAAGCGCCCCGAAGGCTCCCCAGAGCGCCTCAAGAGGGTCCCAAGAGGCGCCCAAGATGCCCCAAGGCGCCCAAAAAGCCCTCCAAGAGGCCCTCAAAAGACCCCCAAGAAGCTCCTTCCCCTCCTCCTCCTCCTCCTCCGATTCTTCCTCCTTCTCCGTCCTCCTCCTCCTCCTCCTCCTCCTCCTCTTCCCTCCTCCTCCTCCTCCTCCTCCTCCGACGACGACGACGACGACGACGACTCCTCTTCCATCCTCCCCCTCTCGGGGTCTGTGACAGCTTCCCCCGCCCTTTGTTATTCTGCATGCTCCCCGACTTCCCTGATCACCTCAACTCCCCTGAGCATCGTTTCTGGATGGGCTGGTGGGGATACGCGAAGCGTCAACAATTCCAAGCTTTTTGGGAGCCCGTGCGAAACAACAGGAAATCGTGGGACATCTGGCATGGCATGGGAATCCTGGAACGTATCCATATCATAACTGTTTGCTCGTCTGAGATACTCTAGATTTCGTAATAAAAGGGAGGGGGTCTGGACCCTCCAAGACAAGCCATTTCAGACCCTCCCCCGTGGGAGAACCCTCCAGAACATCGTCCCCAGACCCCCCCAGGCCATCCAAGATAGCCTGGAGGAGACCCCCCCGAAATGAGACCCCCCTCCCTTTACTACGAAATCTGGAGTACCCATATCAGAACTGTTTGCTCGTCCGAGATGCCCTCCCACCCCCTGGAAGTGCCCCGCTGGGGCACTCCCAGCCACCCACCCACCCCGACGGGACCTGCACCCCTCTCGCCAGGACGGATCGGCGGGCCGGCCGCCCCTGACGAATGAAGGCCCTCCCTCCCTCCCCCCTTGGCTTCTGTAACGAAGGTGGTCACCACAGTGCTCCCTCCCTCCCTCCCTTCCTCCCTCCCTCCCCCTCCCTCCCTCCCTCCCCCTCCCTTACCTTCGCCGAAAGCCGCCACAGTGCTCACCACCCTCGGCTTCTGTACGAAAGGTTCGTGTCGTGACGACCCAGGCGTTGGTTCCTGACACCGCGGGGATCGTTCAACCTTGAACGATCGGCCCGTTTCGCCACGTCCGATCGTTCAACATCGACCGATTCTGGGCCGCCGCAGGCGTACAACATTGAACGCCGGCGTCGGGGTCGCCGCCGGTCGACACGACGCGAACCTGCCGTATGTCTGTGCCTCCATTCATAGGTTTCTCCTAACCGTGCCATGAGATCTGGCTGCACGCAACCGATGCAGCATAAGACGGCCAAGATGGCTCAGGAGGCTTGCGGGGGGGGGGGGCACCTCGAGGCCCAAGAGGCTCGCAAGTCCTAAAACCCACGGACGGCCCAGGAGAGGCATAAGGTGTCTTCAAGACGGCCACGGACCACAGTTCTGGACGGCGCTTTGCGCAGCACTTCTTTTCAGGTACAATCACGGCTGGCACTCAAGAGAGGGACTTCTGCTTCGGAACGTCTTGTGCCCACCTGTATCCCAGGCTCCGCTGGTGCTCCAGGCGCATTGTTCGCTCCTCAGCACCCTGGGCACGGCTTTTGTTCCGAATGCGATACTGGCAGCGCGACGGACGGTGGCTGATGCGCCAAGTGTGGTCGCCGGTGCGCCGCGGGTAGGGCCAGATTTCCGAGAAGCCAGCGGGAGGTCAAAAAACTCGGAGGAGGTCTGCGACCAGGTGGACCCCAGCGTCGGTGTGTCCGAGACCCCAGCGGCGATGGTACCCGCAGCTCCTCACCGGCGACTCGACACTGGACCCAAAAGAGAAGACGAACGCGAGGCAAGGTGAGCGCCCAGCGCAAGACTGAGAGAGCTCGGCGCGGGAGAGAGAGCTCGACTAGAGGAACAAAAAACGCCATGAACATAAACTGTCGGCGCTCCGCGCTCATATTATTAAGACTATTACGATTATGGAAACGATGATCGTTCTTACTACTACGATAATATGTGTGTTTCTTGCTACTACAGCACGATTAATATTATGGTTATTATTATTACTATGATTATTAGTAGTATTAGTATTATTAATAATATTATCATTATTATTAATATCATTATCATTATTATTATTAGTAGTAGTAGTAGTAGCAGTAGTATTCTTGTTGTTATTATTACTATAATAAGTATAAATATCATGATTATTACGATTATCATGATAGTATTATTAGTAGTAGTAGTAGTAGTAGTAGTAGTAGTAGTAGTAGTAGTAGTAGTAGTAGTAGTAGTAGTAGTAGTAGTAGTAGTAGTAGTAGTAGTAGTAGTAGTAGTAGTAGTAGTAGTAGTAGTAGTAGTAGTAGTAGTAGTAGTAGTAGTAGTAGTAGTAGTGCTGTTATTATCAATCGTATTATTGTTACTATACTTAGTCATACTAGTTGTATTAATGCTATCATTATTATGATTATGCTCGAAGCTTGGGCGGCCGCCGCGACGGCCGAGAAGAGTCGACCGCACCCCACACTGGGCCCTGCCCCTCCCGCGCCGCGGGCCCCGGCCCCCACCAGCAGCTCGGCCTCGCCGGAGAGGCTGGCCTCCCCGCGCGCGGGGGGAGGGCTTGGCGGCGGAGGCGGCCGCGGCGGAGGCGGGCGAGGCCTCCCGGGAACGCCCAACGGACACACTGATTCGTCGGCGGCGAGGCTAGGCAGGCACCAACTATACACCAACGCCGATCCTGGCCAGGATCACCCTGGGCCCAGGATCGGTGTACACGCCCTCCTGCCGTGGGCAAGAAGGCATATACACCGATCATGGGCCCAGGGTGATCCTGGGCCAGGATCGGTGTTGGTGTATAGTTGGTGCCCTCCGAGAGGCGGAGGCGGTCCGCACCAGCGAGCGGCGACTCGGGGCAGCCGAATGGCGAATTGGCCAGCATGCAAGAGACCCCGACCCCCGACGTCATGATTCTGTCATATACTGTCAACCCCCAGAGGTCTCGACCCATTCCCCAGGACCAGATTTTCATTCTGAGTCGTTTTTTGACGGTCCCGAGGCCCGGTAAGGGCCCGCGGAGGCCGAAAATAACGAAAAACCTCCCCTCGTGATTTTGTTCCTGACGCGAGGATGTCTGGGGAGGGGAAACGAGACAGACAAGGCGGCCGCAGAGGAAGGGAGACGCGCCCTCCGGGCAAACGCTAGTCTGGAAAAGGAGTACTATCCCCACCCCATCCCTGGGAAACCCTGGTCCCACTGGCCGACATACTCCACCCCCCCAGATGGGGATGGATACCGACGCATTCGGGTTTCGGAGCGTCTATCCTTGTACGATGGGATAGCAATCATACCCTGTCCAGCTGGGGGTGGGGGATGGTTCTGACGACGATGAGCGAACATGGATTACGGATTCGTGGATCTGGCACGTGACCGCCAGATCCATGGATCGGAGAAAGTGCCCCCCAAACAGGAGGTCAGTGCCGACTGATTTGGCGACGGAACGCGGCGATTTCGTGTGGAAACTGGACCGCCTTGATCCATATTTGCTTTTCCTCGAGCCCTGGGGAAAAGCCAGCACATCCCTTGCCGCATGGCTGAAGGGCCACCCTCCAAGACTGGCCCCTTCAGACCACACCTGGACATCGCCCTGGCCAGCTCTCCGAATACCGAAACCGGCCGTGACGGCGTCGTCCCTGGAAGAGTCCCCCGCTGAGCGCAGGAGAAGACCACAGTTGATTCGATGAAGCAGCACGACAAGCAGGACGAGATCTTCACTCTCGCCCGTCCACCGTCGTCCCTCGGACTGCGATCGGTGCAGACCCCGACGGGTCGGGCGACTGTGGGCCAGGATGCTCGGAGACGGCGCCTCACTGCGCCGCTGGGCAGTGGGGCTTCGCCGACCACTGGCCCGCCGCCCGCCAGCAAGCAGAAAGCTGCTCTGCCGCCTCGTCGTCTGCGGCGATTTGCGAGCCACGCTCGGGCGGGTGGTAATGGGAGGCAGACCAAATGGGGGGGGGTGACGAAAAAGGCCGTAAAGAGGCCCCTTAGGGCCCCTTGTGGCACGTAAAAACGCAATAATAAGAATAAGAATAATAATATGAAAAATAAAAGTAATATACATACATAAATATATGTCTGTACATATATCGGAGGTTGGGGGGTGAGATCGCAGTGGAACGGAAACCCCCCATCGGGAAATCGTTTCGTTTCGTTCGCGTCGTGCCTGCGGGCGAGCCGAAGCTGCGTGGGCGCGCGCAAGGCATGAACCCGCCGTTGATATGGGCGAAGTCAATACAAACGATTCTCCTCCGTCCGTCCAGCGGTGGCCCTAGCGGCGTCCCGCGGTGTCCCGCGGTGTCCGGTGGTGTCCCGTGGTGCCCCGCGGTGCCCCGCGGTGTCCCGTGGTGTCCGCCGCTGCTGGGGCGAATTTCAAGACAGAGGACTCTCCTCCGCCCGTGCGGCGGTGGCCCCCAGCGGTGGCCCTAGCGGTGTCACGCGCGGAGCGACGGCCAACGAGGCGCTTGTAGGAAGGCACCAACTATACACCAACACCGATCCTGGCCCAGGATCGGTGTTGGTGTATAGTTGGTGCCCTCAGATTGGGAGGGCAGAGGGGGAGAGAGGGACAGCGGCAAAGATACATCCTGGGTAGTCGAAGCCAATCTGGCGCCAGTCTGGCAGGCCCAATCTGGCCAACGGGGGCAGTCTGGCGAGGGAGCCAGCGCGAACCCAGTCTGGCGAATAGCCCAGATCCTCCAACATGGCCGGGCCAGATTGGCCCTTGGGGCCCAATCCAGTCCGACAGTCTGGCCTTCGACTACCCAGGCAGAGGGTGAGAGAGGGACGGCGGCAAAGATAGATCGGCGTGTCGAGACGACAGCAGGAGGCCGCAGCGGCGCAGCAGCATCGAGCGCAACAGCGACGTGACCCCTCCACTCTCCAGCACCCTCTCCCGGCCGACCGCAACGCATCCTGCCACACCCGCTTCCTCCCCCCCCCATCCATCTTTCTCGCAGAACCCAGATCTCGGGAGCGCGCAAGCATGGGTTCTCGATCCATGGATCTGGCACCTCCCCAAAATGCGGCCGATGCCGCCCCGTCCAGCGGCGGAAATCCGCGATTTCCCATGGAAACGGGACCCGTCGCTAATCCACGCCCCCTTGATCCATCCTTGCGATCGACGCCATCTTTCTCGCAGAGCCCAAATGACCGAAGCGACGGCTGCACTTGCGCAGACGCGACTCCCGCCAGGACAGTGACTGCCCGACTCCTCGCTCGGCCCTCCTTCCCCCCTCCCTCTCCCCGTCCCCTCCCCTCCCGTCTCCTTCCCTGGTGCTCATCCTCCTGTGCCCTCTCCCCCCCCCTCCACCGCCCCACTTTGGGGCGTCGCCACGCCATGCTGTGTCATGCTACGCGTTGATCTTCAACACCATGCTATGCCTGCGACATCCGATCGTGCGAATACAGAGAGGACATCTACGCCACGGTAAGAGATGGGAGGGAGAGGTAGGACGTCAGATATGACGCGAGCGCACCTAGCATGCCCCCCCTCCTCCCCCGTCCCCCCGCCGCTTCTGCGCCATCCCTCGCCTGCATCCTTGGCAGCAGGAGCCGGCCTGGCCCCCCGAAGCCGGCCGGCCCTCACTTTCGGCGACCGAGCCACACTGCCTCGGCCTCCAGCTGCGCGCCCCTGAGTCGGGCCGCCTCGGAGACGGGCACACTTGCCACTTGCCCCGATGACGATGACGATGACGATGACGATGACGATGATGATGGCGATGGCGATGGCGATGGCGATGGCGATGGCGATGGCGATGACGATGACGATGACGATGACGATGACATTGATGAGATGACGACGACGATGATGATGACGTCATCGTCATCGTCATCGTCATCACCCCTCTCGCGTCGCCTTCGACCCCTTCAGCGCGACGATCGCGCGCCCCACGGCGTCGATCGCGCCGACGGCCTCCGCGCTCCGGTTGGCGTAGGCGGCGTGCTCCTTGGCCCGCTCCTGTGCGCCAGAGCCCCGACGTATTTTCGACTGTGGACCCCCTTGTTGCCCGTGGGCCCTGAGCGGTCTCCTCGGCTACACACGCCAGAGCGACCCTGGGCAAGAGTGACCTGTAGTGCGCGGCCAATTGAGGGCCCCGTTTGGGGGACACCACCAGGCGCGCAAGCCGCTGCTCTTCGCATCGCGCTCGGCGATCGGGGGACCCCGCTGGGCCCGCAACAGAGGTCACTCCAGCGAGAGGTCGCTCTTACGTACAGTCGATCTTCGGCGGTCCTCTGACAGTCTTCGGCAGTCTTCAGAGGTCTTCGGCGGTTTTTGCGCTGGTCTTCGGCGGCCTCCGCCAGTCTTCGGCGCGAAAGCTGGACGGTCGTGTTCAGTAAGGGGCCCATGATCGAACACCTAGGGGGGCGGGGGCGGGGGGAACGAAGGGAGGGAGCAGCAGGGTGGACCTGTCCCTTCTTTTCTCCAGGCAGCTGCTGGCTAAGTAGAGAAAGAAAAGTCTGCACAAGCATAAACCTTCTCGGAAGTCCGCTCAGATTTCTTGGGTCTGCGCTGGACCCCCTCCGCATCGGGTGTGGCCAGAGGTGGTCCTGGCCCAACGTGTCCCCAGCTTTTCGCGCCGTTCCGTAGCTCCTGGGCCCTCTGGGAGTCGCTAGGGGTGCTCTGGAGGCCACCTCGGCCTCCCCAGAAATCCTGGGGACACCTTGCGCCAGAGACACCTCTAACAACTCCCGACCATGTATATATATATATAAAAAGATAGGTAGATAGATATAGGTATATATGTATAGATATAGATATAGATATATATATATACACATATATATATAGATATTTAGATATAGATATGTAGATATAGATATAGATATATGGATACATATATATATATATCTATATATATACAGATATAGATATATATATATATATATATATAGATATCGATATACATATACATATATATGTATATCGAAATAGATACTGAAATATATATATATATATGTATATATAGAGATATCGATATAGCTATATATATGTATATACATAGATATAGATATAGATATATATATATATATACAGCTATAGCTAAAGATATAGAAATAGATATATCTATAGATATATAGATATAGATATGGATATATATATATATATATACAGATATAGATATAGATATAGATATATATATATATATAGAGAGAGAGAGAGAGAGAGAGCGCGGTGCGCGCCAGGGGCGGCCCTGGGGTCTGGCGCCGCTCCGAGCACTCCGCGCGGAGCTCCGAGAGCCTCCTCCTCCGGCCGCTGCCTGCCGAGGCCCTGCCGCGGAGCCAAGGGCCCCGCACAGGATTCGGGCCCCGAGGCGCAGTGCCGACCAGCCACAACTGGGGGAGCTGTGGTCCTTACCCCCCCTGTGGGAACCCCTCGCGTCGACGACCTCTCGAGAGGGGTGTCGAAATCGATGGGTCCCCCAGGGGGGGTAAGGACCACAGCTCCCCCAGTGGTGGCTCGCCTGCGCAGGCCCCGGCGCGTGCGCGACCCCACCCGCGCGAGCGAGAGAGAGGGGGGGGCGGGCACGGGGCACACCGACCCCGGCGAGCGTGGCACCACGGGGGGGGCCACCTGGAAGGGGGGGAAAACAAACCTACCTCGCTTTTGACCACCCTCGCTTCCAAGAGATACCAAACGATGCCAAATTGTAGCCTGTACTGGTCAGGCCGCTTGACGAGGAGGCGCGTGGTATGGCTTGGTTTTGCCTGGAAGCGAAAGCGGGGTAGGTAATTCACGCTCTGATGGAAGGGGGAAGCGCTCGGGGGGGAGGACCCGCTCAGGGGGGAAGCGCCGAGCCGGAGTCGGCGAGAACTCGCCGATGGCTCGGCGAGGGGCCCCCGATGGCGAAGCTGCACGTTCCTGGGCGGCGTGAGCGATCGGGGCCCCCATCGGCGATCAGTGGGCAGCTGGGGGGCGATGGGATCCCCCCTGGGCCTCTGCCCCCCCTGACGTTGCCCCAGAAGGCTGTCCACGTCCACGAGCAGCAGCAGCAGCACCAGAAGCCCAGTGCTCGGCGAAGCAAGAAAGTGAGGCAGCTCGGGCCACAGCCGGGCAGAACGGACGACGGACGACGGACGACGGACGACGGACGACGGCGACGGCGACGGCGACGGCGACGGCGACGGCGACGGCGACGGCGACGACGACGACGACGACGACGACGACGACGACGACGACGACGACGACGACGTCGATGACTGCACGGCTGCCGCAGTGGCGCAGCACGGCTGCCGCAGCAGCAGCGGGAAGGCGCCCGGTCCGCTCGCCCCGAGGCCGGCCACGGGGAGCGGCGATTGCAGCAGCCGCCGGGCCCTCGCCGGGGCCGCCGCCGACTTCGGGCGTGTGTCCGTGGGGGGCGTGCTCCGTTGGGCGTTGCCTTGTGACTACAGGGCAGTTTTTAATACATGGGATATTTTTTATATAGGATTCAAATACATGATTAATTTATGAACAACTTCATCCATGAACATATCGTTGTTGTTAATACTAAATCCCTGCATTTCTAATACATGATCCGCACGCGGAACATGTATTAAAAACCGCACTGTACTTCGTCAAACCTGTGATTGGGGTAGCTGGTTTTTCCAGGCGCTCTGGGCGATGAGCGGAAGCCATGTCGCCTCTTCAGGCTGGCCTTGAGCCAAAATGGCTATGGTTTACGCGACAGCTCAGGGAAACGACCGCCACCAAACACCGTCGCAGCCCCCGAGAACACGCAAGCAACTGTCAGCGATGACACAGCATGGACTGGGGAATGGGTTCAAGATACAGCGGCGGCCAGTCCACACGAAACCTGCCACGAGAAGCCCAACCCTGAGACCCCAGGACGTCCATGGATTTTTGGCGTGGGAACGTCGCGCTCTCCATGGCAAAACCATCGAAAACCAAAGACAGCCCAAGAGCGCTGCTCTCCAAGAGACCCCAAAGACGGCCCAAAGACAGTCCAAGAGCGCCCAAGAGGACCTCCAGAAGCGATTTCGATGGCGCCAGGGGGCGGGGGGGGGAATTCGGGGAGCCCTCTTCGTTCCTCTTTGGATAGACGATCTGCAAGATGACCCCGAAGAGGCCCCCAAGGTGGGTCCAAGAGCCCCCAGGGCCCACTGACCCCAAGACCCTCGAAAATAGCCCCAACAAGGCACAAAGAGGGCCGAGAGAAAGCTCCAAGATGAGGGCCTCCTAGAGACCCCAAGACTGCTGCAAGAGCCTTCGTCCTCGTCCTCCTCCTCTTCCTCCTCCTCCTCCTCCTCATCATCAGCAGCAGCACACTCAGCATCATCATCATCATCATCATCATCATCATCATCATCATCAGCAGCAGCAGCAGCAGCAGCAGCAGCATCAGTACCAGCATCATCATCATCATCATCACCACCATCATCACCATCAGCAGCAGCAGCATCAGCATTAGCATTAGCATCATCGTCGTCATCATCGTCATCATCATCATCAGCTGCAGCATAAGCATGAGCATCCCCATCATCATCATCATCAGCATCAGCATCATCATCACCATCATCACCATGAGCATCATCATCATCATCATCACCACCATCATCAGCAGCACCATCATCATCATCATCATCATCATCATCATCATCATCATCATCATCATCATCATCATTATCATCATCATCATAATCAGCATCATCATCATCATCATCGTCATCATCATCACCATCATCATCATCATCAGTGTCGTCATCATCGTCATCATTATCAGTATCAGCATCACAATCCTCCTCCTTCTCCTCATCCTCGTCATCGTCATCATCATCATCACCACCACCATCACCACCATCATCATCATCATCATCATCATCAGCATCATCATCATCGTCATCATCATCACCATCATCATCGTCAGCATCGTCATCATCGTCATCATCGTCATCATCATCAATATCAGCCGCATCATCCTCATCATCATCATCGTCGACATCGCCATCATCATCATTATCATCATCGTCACCATCATCGTCATCATCACCATCATCATCAGCAGCATCATCATCGTCATCATCATCAGCATCAGCATGGTAATCGTCGTCATCACCGTACATTTCAGCAGCATCATCATCGTCAACAACAGCAACAACATCAGCGTCATCCTCATGCTCAGCAGCATCATCATCAGCATCATCGTCATCGTAATCATCATCACCCTCGTCATCATCGTCATCAGCATAAGCATCCTCAGCATCAGCATCATCATCAGCACCAACATAATCATCTGCATCACCGTCATAACCGTCATCGTCATTATCAACACCACCACCACCATCAGAAGTATCAGCATCGTCAACATCATCAGCATCAGCATCATCATCAGCACAATCAGCATCATCATCATCATCCGCATGCTCATCCACATCCTCATCCGCAACCTCGTCCTAATCCTCATCATCATCGTCAAACATCCAGAACAACATCATCATCATCAGCATCAGCATCATCATTATCAGCCTCATCATCATCCGCATCATCATCATCATTGCACAAAGCCAAATGGGAATCCGCATAACCACCACCCCATGTCTCCCACCAACATCCCCAGGTCCGCCGCGGGGACCCATCTGGACAAGAGCTCACGGGCAATTCGCCACTGTTCTGCAACGCAACGAACATAACCGCCGAATGAAGACCCGCTCCTCTTCCAGCTGCGAGATCTCGCCCTCCTTCTCTACGATCTTGCCCTCCAGGTCTGACATGGCCTTGCCACAGAGGGCCGAGAAGGGAGAAAGGGCTTGGCACGGACAACCAGAGCGGCGCACCACACTCATGAGCGCATGACCGCGAGAACAAGCGCGCACGCTTGACGCTCGTGAAACGAAATATGAGCATCGTTTAACCGATCCCTATCCCCACTGGCATGGCCTGGGCCACACTGGCCGATCTACCCCCGAGATGGGGATCTGGGCAGTTCCTTTCGGGCTTCGACGAGCAGATCCCCAACTGAGGTGGTGGGATGGTGGGAATCGGGATGGGGATGGGAATGGGGATAGGGATCGGTTGAACGATACTGAAAGTAGAACGAGGTCATGCACGCAGTCCCGACTGTCATTTGCATATTTGGCGTAGTGCGCATCGTTCGCTGAGCCTCAGAACGTGCGCTAGCCTCAACATATGCTTGTCCATCGAGGCCTTCGATGCGACACAGGCGATGTAGTAATCTACTGGCTGGGTTGAAAGGGGTAGACACACATTGGGCTGACACACGTCCTGGGGATCATCGAATCGTACAATGCGGACGCGACCGCAAGAAATCCACCGCAAGAAAAACCAAATCCGGAAAAACATCCGCGAAGCGCCTTCGGGGGAGGCCCCAGGCGCCCAGAGCGCAGCGGCCCCCTCGACGCCCGCGGGAAGCCACCGCCTGGCGCGCGCAGCGAGGGAACCCAAGGCGACCTGACGTAAAAACATCCTCCTCCTCCTCCTCCTCCTCCTCCTCCTCCTCCTCCTCCTCCTCCTCCTCCTCCTCCTCCTCCTCCTCCTCCTCCTCCTCCTCCTCCTCCTCCTCCTCCTCCTCCTCCTCCTCCTCCTCCTCCTCCTCCTCCTCCTCCTCCTATCCTCCTCCTCCTCCTCCTCCTCCTCCTCCTCCTCCTCCTCCTCCTCCTCCTCCTCCTCCTCCTCCTCCTCCTCCTCCTCCTCCTCCTCCTCCTCCTCCTCCTCCTCCTCCTCCTCCTCCTCTCCTCCTCCTCCTCCTCCTCCTCCTCCTCCTCCTCCTCTCTCTCCTCCTCCTCCTCCTCCTCCTCCTCCTCCTCCTCCTCCTCCTCCTCCTCCTCCTCCCCTCTCCTCCTCCTCTCCTCCTCCTCCTCCTCCTCCTCCTCCTCCTCCTCCTCCTCCTCCTCCTCCTCCTCCCTCCTCCTCCTCCTCTCCTCCTCCTCCTCCTCTCCTCCTCCTCCTCCTCCTCCTCCTCCTTCCCCTCCTCCTCCTCCCTCCTCCAGGGGGGGGGACCTGCTCAGGGGGGGGCATCGATCTGGACGACGCGCATCGCGGATGACTTTGGCAGGTCTTTGGAGAGCCCCCAGACAAGATACTTGAGAACGGATCGCTCTTCGTCGACCGTGTTTGACGGACTGGGGCCTCACCAATAGCGGCAAATGGCTATGTCTCCACGGCACCCGCCGCACAACAACGACGACGACGCCGACGACGACGACGACTACGACTACGACTACGACTACCACTACGACTGCGACTACGACTACGACTACGACTAGGACTACGAGTAGTCAGCGACCACGACTACTATCACAACTACGAATACGAGTACGACTACGACTACGACTACGAAAACTCGCGAATCAAAACGATGTACATTCCGAGTTCAATATTCATGAGAAGATGCGCACAAATCCTCTCGCGTCTAGGGTAGCCCACACATGGAATATTCCCTGGGAAAACAAACAACTTTATCCAGCCCTCCCAACAATATAGGTAAAATAATCTCCGCCGCGACGACGACGACGACGACGACGACGACGACGACGAAGAGGAGGGGCGAGTTCACTCCCCGCCGAGAGAAACAGGGAGGGGCTAAACTAAAAACCTCCTGAGGTTAGCTCGGCGATAGGCCCCCGATAGCGAATCCGCACCTTCCTGGGCAGGGTGGGCTCTCGGGCCCCTGTCGGCGATGAGTGGGCGATTGGGGGTCGATGCCTTCCCCCCTGACCCTGTCCCCCCCTGGCGTTGCAGCTGAGAAAAGCACCCAGTCTCTTGATGCGCGTGGCCCCACTGTACCACCGCCACCGTGGCACAGGCCCACACGAAGGCGAAGCCGGGACAGGAGCACGTCGGAGGAGATGTTCCGAGACCCGGCAGTTCTGGAGGATGCATCGGGCACAACGGCCGTTCCAGAGCGCTCCAGGACGCTCTGAGAGCGTTCCAGAGCGCTCTGGGACGATTTATCCTGGTTCGGCGGCGAGCGAGGGGGGGGAGGAACTGAGAAGGAGAAGGCCTTCTCAGAAGGCGGCGGGACTTCTCAGAAGCCCTCGCGCCTTCCAATAAGGTTTTACTTGTCTTCGGGGAAGGCTCAGAAAACTTCTCAAAAGACTGGGGGACTTCAGAACCTTCTGAGAAGGCCTTCTCCTTCTCACTTCGGTGGAAAAGCGCGTGCCACTACTCGCAAAGGAACTACTCGCAAATGGCCTTGATGGCCTTGATCCGCCGCGGGGGATTGACGATCCACTCCCTGCGCGCCAGGGGCGGCGCCGGAGGCGCCGCCAGGGGGGTCCAGCGCGGATCCGAGAAATCCGCGCGGACCTCCGAGTTCTTATGTCTCTGTCATTGTTCGTTCCCCCAGAATCACCGAGCGCGTTCCACTACTCGCACAATGCCTACTCCGCAAACGTCCGAGAAAAGCACGTGTCTTCCTCCACGTAGTGGATCGTCCAACCCCTAGAATCCCCCCCCTCGCCGCCGATCGGTCCTGGCGCCGCCCGCCCACCAGCCTTCGTGGCGCACGTGCCCAAAGGCCCCCCAGGAGGGCCGACGGCGCGGCAGAGCCCCAGGCGCGGCGCGAGGGCGGCAGCACAATCGCAGGGAACAGGCGGGGGGTGGCAGGAGGAGGAGGAGCAGGAGGAGGAGGAGGAGGAGGAGGAGGAGGAGGGGGAGAAAGAGGGGGAGGAGGAGG